TCTTGTTGTCAAGACAATGCCTGAACTATAGAAAATAAAGATTAAGAATCTAAGAGCTAAAATTGTATTATCATTAAAAATGCAGAAGTTCAAAAGCCAAAAGAATTACAGTATTGGAGCACCAGTGTAATTAGATGACTGAGGAATTTTTTTCTGCCTTATCTATATGCCCAATGTAATCAAAGGAAAAAGTAGCTGGTTTCTAACCCAAATCCTTAGGAAGTTCATGAGTGGCTCTTTAATGCATATTTTTAATATGTATCACTAGTCTTTAAATAATCATGTGCAGCATGAGGTAGTCTGGCTAGACTGTCACCCTTAGATGATACAGGAATAAAGACTGTATTAATAATGGAAGAACTTCACATTTCAACTCATCTGCTCAGTTGAGTCTGCCAAATCTTATTTCTAGATTTGCTTGATTGAAAATCTCTCCTTTTCTGTATCCTATGCAATTTCACAAAAATCCCTAGATTTGAATGTCTGGGGTGATGATGGTATCTTTTAAGGTTTGGTTGTTAAATTTGATTATATGACCAACTTGTTGGGGAAAGTAATTTGTATTCCTAGGTAGTTAATCCATAACAGATCACCTTGTACCATTTTTTTGGTTGCTGTATATTTTGATATTATATTGTCCCTATATTAGTCAAAAATCCTAATACATAATTTGAATTCTAAAACTATGCGGTGAGTCAGTCAGTGTTTGACCTTGAACTTGCAGCATCTAGATAGTGGTTATATACCATGTCAGTTCTGTTCAACAGAAATGGTTTTAAACTTTCCAAAATTTCAATAAAATAAAAATGGTGACAATTTTCTTCTTTTTGAAGAAAAATTTAACAATCTTTATATATACACTTCCTTAAGAATTGAACAATGAAGCAAGGTTAATATGTTAGTTTGCAAGAATTCACATTACTATTTCATTTATAAAATTTCCTAACTCTTACAATTTCCTTGCAAATTCTGACTTCCACACTGTGATGTAATAAGTGAGTTTTTTAAAAATGCCAAAACCAAAAACAGAATACACCTCAAGCAAACCTGCTTGTCTCAGGTTTTATTACATAAATTGGGTGAAATATAAAATGATGGAAGTATAAGTTGAGAGAAATTGAAAAGAGACACTAAAGAATGTCTCACTTACCCCCACAACTTTTCCTGCTTTTCCATTAAGGCTGTAATTTTCAACTTTTCCCTTTTTCCCCATGGAACAGCAGTTGAAAAGTGGGAAAGGTAATTTTGACACCTACTAGAAAAGAAGGGGAGGAAAAACAGAGAAATAAATGAAGGAATTAAGAAAGAAAGGAGGAAGGAAGGAGGGAGGAAGGGGGAAAGAATGGAAGGAAATGAGAAATGAAGAAAGAAGAAAGAAAAATCATAATGCAGACTATCACAGAGTGGATGAACCCCCAGTGCGCTGGGTTATATGGACTGAAAACATACTTGTACCCTGATTTTAGAGAGAGTCTGCTCATATTCAGAGGGACTTTTGACTAAAAACAATAAAATTTAACATTCTATTGTAATGGTTAAATGATTTAACAGTTTTAACAATATATTCAAGGTCAAGAAATGTTTCTTTAAAAAACATAATGATATGAATCCTCCTTTGTCAAGCTCATTAACAGAAAATGGTATCTTTATTTTTGTCAGTGGATTTCCAATCAATTACCATCTAATGCAAAAATAATCCCAGGAGCGAAGATTAAGTATTGTTTAAATCATGGAACCAAGACCTATAGTCAGACATGACCTCAATAATGCAAATGCATTTGTGAATAGCTGGAAAGACAAATTCATTTATAACAACAGACAGTGTCAGGAGAAGATTAAAATATATATGCACCACATAGATGAAATAATTGTAATCAGGACAGTAGCATTACCACAATTGGAGAATTTCACTGAATAGCTGAATTTCATGTATAACACAATCAAATTTTCTGCCTCATTCAGTCTCACCAGTGTTCTTTTCCTGGGTGTTCTGATTAATTTAAACTATGGTTAATTGAACATTGAAATATTCGGGAAACTATGGACAGAAACAATTTGCTGTGGATAATTTCTACCTGTATTCTTACACTTTAGAGACCATATAAGAGAGAATTTTCATATAAAGGGGATTTGCCTGTTCAACTGCTCTTTAAACATCAATCTTTTTATCATGCTAAATTAGCTATTTTCCAGTAAATGTTCTAAATGGATTAAAATTAGGGATATTTTACCAAAACAACTATCCATACATAGATATTTGTAGATTTATTATTCTCAGTTTGAGACCTAGACAGATAATTTAAAAAACTGGTTACCACAAACTATGTATTTCTCCCACTGTTTCCTATATCCCCACCCCTTTAAATAAATTGCTCATAGGTTTGCATTGCTGTAAGAATCAGACAGTATTTTCACAGTTTATTAATTAAAGCTGCCTTAAATATGAATTCATACAATTCTGAGCTTACATAATGTGTACCAACTCACTCTAATGGCCATGCAGTTGGTGATACAAGCAGCATAAACATCCATCCATGGTGTATATGTACCACATCTTCTTGATCCAGTCATCTATTTTTGGGCATTTGGGTTTTTTCCAAAGCTTAGCTATTGTAAATAGTGCTGCTATAAACATAGGGGTGCAGGTGCTTTTCGGAATTGATGTTTCTGTGTCCTTTGGGTAAATACCTAGCAGTATAATTGCTGGATCATATGGAAGCTCTATGTTTAGTAGGTCCAGAAATCTCCACACATCTCCATAGTGGTTGGACCAGTTTGCACTCCCACCAATGGTGCAGGAGAGTTCCTTTTTCTCCACAACCTCACCAACATTTGTTGTTGCTAGTTTTTTTAATATGTGCCATTCTCACTGGTGTAAGATGGTATCTCATGGTAGTTTTGATTTGCATTTCCCTGATGACAAGTGATGTTGAACATTTTTTCATATGCCTGTCGGCCATTTGCATTTCCTCTTCAGAGAAGTTACTTTTTAGCTCTTCTGCCCATTTTTTGACTGGATTATTTTCTTTGTTGTTGTTGAGTCTCATCAGCTCTTTGTAGATTTTTGTGATCAGTCCTTTATCGTTGGTGTTGCGTGCAAAAAATGTTCTCCCAGTCGGTGGGGTTTCTCTTTGTTTTTGTTATTGTCTCTTTTGCTGTGCAGAAGCTCTTTAATTTGATGTAGTCCCAGCTGTTTATCTTTGCCTTCACTATCACTGCTTTGGGTGATGTGTCTGTAAATATGTCTTTGATGTGCATATCATGGAGTGTTTTGCCTATATTTCTTTCTATGTATTTTATGGTTTCAGGTCTTATGTCTAGTTCTTTAATCCATTTTGAGTTGGTTTTTGTGCATGGTGTTAGGTAGTAGTCAAGCTTCATTCTTTTGCATGTAGCGACCCAGTTTTCCCACCATTTATTGAACAAACTTTCTTTGCTCCAATGCATATTCTTTGCTCCTTTGTCAAAGATTAGTTGACCATAAATCTGTGGGTTTATTTCTGGATTTCCTGTTCGATTCCATTGGCCTGTGTGTCTGTTCTTGTTCCAATACCATGCAGTTTTGATGATTATGGGTTTGTAGTGTAGTTTGAAGTCTGGGAGTGTGATGCCTCCATTCCCTTCTTTTTTTTTCAGGAGAGCTTTGGCTATTCAGGGTTTTTGGTGATGCCATATGAATTTCATCAATAATTGTTCTATGGATGAAGCTGGAAGGGATCATGCTCAGCGAAATAAGCCAGAAAGAAAAAGAAAAATACTGGATGGTCTCACCCATAGCAGGAATCTAGAAAACTTAAATAAGAGACCAGGAAAAAGAATAACTATAAGAAAGAAAATATCAAAATCAACAAACAACTATAAACCAGAGACACTCTGTGGGGGGCAGGGAAAGGAGGGCTTGGGGTCAAAATAAGGGGTTGTAATTGTAAGGGGAATATAAAAATAAAATTTAAATAATAAAAAAATAAATAAAGAGAAAAAAACCAGTATAAACTTTATTTTATCAGTAATATTAATCTATGTTGGGCCTCCCCTGGTGGCGCAGTGGTTGAGCACTGAGCTGTGAAGCTGCCCGCAGCCTCTGCAGTGCTGGTTCCATCCCTGGCCACCAGCTAGGGTCCCACATGGTGCGCAGACCACTCCTGCCGTGCCCGCTGCTCCCCTCAGCAGTGTATTTCGGTCCTTCTGCCTGTTCTGCTCCCGGCTCTGACTCTGGTGAAGTCTCTCACCCTCCTGTGCTTCTGACTGTACCCAGTGCTTGTATAAATAAATCAATCTTAAAAAAAATTTAAAAAAATATTAATCTATGTTATCATTTGCCCACATATGCTATGTTTGAGACTTGTGACCCTAATCCAGTAACACATTTTCCTGATTGTGTTCAGTCATCATTAGATACTCCACAGAATCTGAATTGTTGAGACAGATTTATAAGAACAATCTGAAGGCTGGCGGTAATTATTATGGAGAAATTTGACAATATAAAAGATAGGACACTGTAAGATGATCAGTCTCATAGTTTACATTGGAATTAACTTCTACACAAGACATGAAAATACTGAATGTTGCTGGGAAGTAACCTCAGTCTATTTAGGCTAATACCCTTATTTTACGGTAAGGAATCACAGTGATTCTTTGACTACCTTAGTGAGGGGATGGTTGTTAGATCCCAAGCAAAAAGCAATGTGGCTGAAAATAGAGGGAGTGGGAATGAGTAGTTCATAAGATTATGCGAAGACTACGAGGAAAGGACAGTAGAGGAAGCAGTGAGCAAGACTGTGTGACACTTAGAAAAAGTAGTCAAAGGGTGGTGTCTTCTTTAAGTCTGTTTCCCTTACCACATCAGCACGACTGTCCTTTTCTCAGTGTGAAGATGTTTGTTCTAAGTCCTGTGATTTATCCATTTCCACGAACTCTTAGTGAGTTAAAGACTGCATATGTGCATGTGCGTGTGATTATTTATATTTTGAACATTGTCCTCATTTATTTACTCCCAGGCTAATAACCACAGAGTGAAAGTTAAAAAAAAAAAAAAAAAAAAGGAAATCCTGCCATATGTGACAAAATGAATGAACATCGAGGGTATTATGTTGAGTGAAATGTCAGTCACACCAGGGAAAATATTGCTTGATACAACTTATTTGAGGTAACTAAAATAGTCAAACTCATAGAAGCAGAGTAAAATGGATTTTCAGGAACTGGGAAGAAATGGGGACTTGCTAGTTAATAGGTATAAAAATGAATAAATACTGGAGCTCTGTACCCACTGTGCCTTATGGTTTATAATATTGTATTGTTTACTTAAAAATTTGTTTATGGGGGTAGGTATTGTGTCAAATATTGTCACTATAATAAAACTAAACATAAAATACATAAATCTCTCACTTCCAATTGCTAAAAGAAAGCATTCAAATTTAAAGATGGATTGAAAGTAAAGATAATTAGCACACGTGTTTAAAAATAAATGGAAATATATTAGATATTTTACTAATTACATTTCCCTTTAATGCAACAATAGTTTCAGCTGAGGAAGTTAATGAAACAAACAAGTGTTTTCTGATTTACTTGTTTTCCCTTTTTGTTTTTTTGGAGGAGTTTGGTGGAGTCTGAATATCTACTCCAGGAAGATAATGAAATCGGTGATCTGACGTAGTATAGAAAAATCCAGAGGAGGAAATTTCACATTTGGTGAGGCAAATAGAATTTCTGCAGGGGTTACAGCTTTTGAAAACTCTTGAAAAGATTCCTAGTCATTTTATGACTCATGGAGCATATCAAATATTGAAAAGCTATCAGTGAACAGAACAAGAAGCTTCTTTCAAATATAGTCAGAGGCACTATAAAAACTAACAATTCTACTGCAGAATCAAAATTGCTCAAAAGAACTATCATACCCAAATATTTATGTTTCTTTTATCTGTTGAGCTGAATATTAAGTTCAAAATGTCTTATTGTTATAGCTATGTCCATTCATCTGTCCATCCACCCATATGTTCATTCAACCATCCAGTGTCTATTGCCTAAATCAGTTAATCATAGGTGGTAGTCTAGGCATTATAAACAACATTGTGCTCACAAATTTTCTTTGATCAGACAGTCTAAGTTCTAGATACCTTTTCAATAAAATATGCTACAGAGAATGGAATGACTAAACAAAACACTGCCAAGGCAGGAAAAAAATGTGTGAATGTTGTGTAACCATCCCAGGCTGGGCAAGTACACTGTTGATTCTGGCAAACGGAAAAAGATTCTCAGAGCCTTAGGTGTCTCTGACATGCCTTTAATGCTGCGGCAGGGAACCAGATACACAGTCAGGCCAGCAAGCAGAGAGGCAGGCAGGCAGCAACTGAGCCTCCTAGGTCACATAACTGATATATTGTTGCACATGCCAGGCACATTCAAAGTTAAGGACCATCCCTTTACTGGATGTCCCAAAAAGAACCTGAGTTGTACAATGTTCCTTACAGTGAAGTAAGCTGTGTCTGCATTTTTTGTATTGTTTATAAACTTTTTGTTCAATGGTAACACTTTAATACATTTCCTTTGTTAAAAATTCAAATATTCTTGACATAACAAAAATATCCTTTTGCCTGAGTGTTATCCTTACATGTGGAAATATGTCCATTCCCATAGCTTTTTTGTCAATAAGTTCATATTATATGTGTTGTTTTGCACTCAGTTTTTCACACTTAATATATCTAGGAGATATTTCCTTTATCATTATAGTTGCTGCAAAAATCCCTCTGTAGTTATACTTTTATTTTTGGTTTTATAATTCTATTCATAAGTCAGGCAGAATGAAAAACTATAGTAATATTCATCTTGTCCAATATTGAACACAATGAGGCAACTGTGGGGGGACTGCTGATTTTCTGGTGGTTTTCTTTCTAAATTCCTGCTCCCCTACTGAGGAGTTAACAGAGACAAATATGTGAACATCACTGGAAGGTGAGACTTGCAATTCTGGTAGAGTTGTCTTTGGGGAAAACACCATCTGAACTTTATAATAACTGATGAATTGGTTTAGGGCAGCAGGCAATTCAGATCCTCTGACCATGAACCCTTAGGTGGATGACAGGGATCCTATGCCATGTTCTTTCTCTCTGTGGGATAGAACAACTTACATGGCTGACTAAATCTGTTGCTGAGAGGGTTAACCTCTTCATATTAGAACAAGTGCCTAGACAAAGAGACAGTGTTTGGAATATAGCAGAATTATTTCAATACTTTTCCTCCTCCTTGCAGGATTATTAATTCCATGACATTTTGCCAACATATTTGTATCAAAAAATCAGTTTCTAACAAATTATAGGGAATGAAAGACACTAACTTTATTGGTTCTCTTGTCTTGTTTGCATGCTTGTGAAAAGATGTTGATGCCTAATTCCATGCCTAATCATGGATGCCATGGTTAATTTTTGTCATTCTAGATGACTTGTGTATTTTTAAAAGTCACCTTTTATCCATTTATTCCGGAGATATTTATCAAGTGGCAAACATCAGTCCACTGATAGCAGAATCTTTTGTTCCATCAATTCTGTGGGTTATTATTTTTTTTTCAAAGTGTGCATTTGTATTTGGTATAGTGTCATTTTTCTCCTGTAACATTTTTTTGAGGTAACAATTTACCACACTATATATGATTTAGGGGAATATGTTCACACCTCTTCAGGTTTATGTTACCACACTACAGTTACCAAAACACCCATACCAAGTAATTTCATCCATATGTGAAAATAAAGAACAGATCAAAGGAACAGACAAAACTAGACCAAAAACAAACCCTAGAAATATAACCACAGAATCGAGGCTACTAGAAGGGGAGGGAAGTGGGAAGGGGACAAAGGCAGCAGGAGGCCCAATGGACTATGGTGGAGGATATATGATTTATTCTATCTGATCCTCCAGGACCATACAGAAAATAATGCAATTTTGTTCACTATAAAGATTTCACTAATTTCAAATCCTGTGTCCAATGCTCAGAGTTGGTTGACTTCATCAGTTGTGTTCAGTCCTGGGTAGAATATGCGGTGTCTTTATGCAACTTCATCACCAGATCATGCTTCTCAGTGTTAGCCCAAGCTGCTTTCTTCCTCAGAGACCTAAGTCCCCTCCTGAAGCCCAGGGGGGAGTGTAAACAAATCCCTTCCTCTCAGGGTTACATGAAAAGCTAAGTCATCATCCAACACAATAAAATAAGCTGGTGAAGGAAAGAACCAATCAAACCTCTTTGATTCTGAGACTTAGGGAAAGCACTTAGGAAACCTCACAGTCTGCCTATCAGAAGGAAGAAAGGCTCCAATTAAATGGGAAGAGTACTCATTTTAAGCACTCTAAAATGTTCAGAATTTTAAAAATACAGTGCTTAACATTGTGTAGAGCTACAACAAAGAATATGCTAACCATAGCATTTACACACCACGCTTCTGCCAAGCCATTTCATAATGTACCTTAAAATTTTTTCAGGCTTTCTTACAAAAAGACACCCCCCTCCTCCCATGCTGATGGCAGCACATTCCCAGGCATGTGAATTGTATAATTTTGAAGTTCTAGTGAGGGAGGCTTGTAGCTTGAAGGTAACGCTCATGCCAACAGTGTTGTTGCACAAGATGCTAGTTGAGCCATCCCTGCTGATTGGCTTATTTCCTATCATGACATTTTCCCTGAACAACTTTGACTGAATAGATGACACTTTTTTTTTTTTTAATCAGGTCAGTTTCATTATGTTGTCTGTGTTCTGGCAAGTGGAATTAACCACCTTTTTCATCCATTTCTGTTACCTTTACCTATATGAAAGGTGCCCTTTCTTTAGCAAACTCTCATGCCTTCTATGCCTCCTATCAAAGCCCATATGTGTAGTTAATTAAGCTATTGATTCTGATATTTCATCATGTTAATTTTTTTACTTCTTACATGGCTGCAAAAATTCTTTGGTATCACCTAATCATCTATTGGAGTTTAGAATACTTCCAAAACTTTATAAATAACACAACCAGAGTGCTAGCCACTAGAGTAAAATAATGTTAGCAGAAACTCAGAGATTTTGTTTTTAAAGAAGGAAAGTTTGAAAAATAACTTAGGGCAGTAGTAAAAAATATATAATTACCATAAATATATTAGCTTTATGAAATATCAAAGCTAAAACAGGGACCTAAGAGATTACCTAGTTGGCCCTCATTTACATACTACAGAGACACAGAGAGATAAGAAGTCTGTCCCAAATCACATAACTGAATTTGTAGCAGAGGAGACTGACCCTGTCATTTGATTCAATCAGAGATCTTATAAATTTATATCTTGAATCAGGGGTGCAACATTTAAACACTCAGCTGTGGTGTAAACAGTGCATTTTAAGATTTTTTTTTGAATTTTTAAATCTATGGGTAATGTGTCCTAAATATATAATTGTAATATAAGATTAGAATAGCACTCAAAGATCTATTTATGTCGATTGCATAAATGATACACTTTGAAAACATTTATGAATATGTATTACCATTATTAATGGTGTCTTAGATTTCTAATGAGTATTGTGGGGGGGTGGATGTGGGTATAGATGTGGGTGTGTGGGTGTGGGGGTGTGTGCTCTTGTGTATGCATATAAGTACACAAAATCCTTTGTGAGAGAGTAGAGCAAATGGATTCAGATACAATCAGAATCTCCCATACTCTATCATCTATTTTTGGCATCAACTTTGACCAAAATAGCTTTTTGAAGCTTAAAAGTGTTTCCTCTCTTTCTCTAGTTGGTGATTGTATATTCAATTGACAGTTTAAAGTGAAGAGGAAAGCTGGGGCAAGTTAATTTGTTTGTTCTATTCCTCTTTCCCCCTGTAGATCTGGTCGGGTTTCAGGGAACAATAAAGAACAATACTTGTCCTTCTACTTTCTGTACAAAATAAATATAATAGAAGCAACCAGGAGCATTACAGCTGGAGGGGCTCTACTCCCATAGAAGGAAACTTGAAGAGTTGGAAAAAGCATCACTGCTTCTTCCACACTTATTGACACCCTGTTAGGGCTCAGGCACTATGCAAGATACAGAAGATGTAACAATAAATAAAACATAGTCTGTGGCCTTTAAGAAGTCACAGGTAAGTAGCAATCGTTATGGTATTATGTACTGACTTTGGTAATTATGCAAAAATACCTAGGACCATAAAACCTGAGTGTTGAACTGTGCCTGGAAATGCTGGTGCAAACACCAGAGAATGGAAGTGTCTTTTGAGATGTTTTGCTTTATGTTCATGTCTTCAAAAGGCAAAAGATTTTATGATGCTGGAGAAGATTTTATTTATGCTTATTTCATTTTGTAAATGTGTATTTATTTGTTTGCAAATACCTATTGTTAGTTATAGAGTTAAAATCAACTTCTCAGTAGGAAGAGGGAAATAATGGTCACAGTTCTGTATTCTAAATAGGAACTCCAATTAATGAACTATTTTTAATTTTTTTAGTACATTTTTTCTTATGTAGTTGTTACTTTTGGGACAGTATTCGATTTATTCCTTAAGGAATAGTCCCCATAGTTCTCCCCCCACCATAGCACCCACAATCCATTAGCACAGTGCCTTGTGCTCTTCGCTGCCCTGTTATGACCCCTCTCTCCCCCTCACCTGCTTTATGCCTCAGATCTATGTCAGCTTGCAAGTTTCATCATTTTCCTGGCCCTTTGTTTGATTTCTCTATATTCTTCATATAAGTAAAACCATCAGATACTTAATTTTTCCTTCTGACTTATTTCTCTTAGCATATAATATCTTCCAGCTCCATACATGTTGCCACAAATGACATGAGTTTATCTTTTTTCATCACTGAGTGGTAATGCATCTTGATTTATTCATTTATTTGGGGGCATCTGTTGTTTCCATAGTTTAGCTATTGTAAATCATGCTGCAATAAACACAGGAATGCAAGTTTCCTTTCAAATTAGTGTTTTTGTGTCCTTTGGGTAGATTCTAGGAGTGGAATCACTGGGTCATGTGGTAAAACAATTTTTAGTATTTTGAGGAAACTGCACACAGCTTTTCATAGTGGCCAGACCAGTTTACATTCCCACCAGCAGTGTAAGGGTTTTTTTTTCCCTCCACATATCGCCAGCACTTGTTTTTATTTTTAATATGGACCATTCTCACAGGTGTGAGGTGGTATCTCATTTTAAGTGATGTTGAACATTTTTTCATTTGCCTGCTGCCTGTTTGCATTTCTTCTTTGGAGAAGTGTATATTTAGCTCTTCTACCCATTATTTTGATGAGTTTGTTTTTTTGGTGTTGAATTGTGTGAGCTCTTTGTAGATCTTTGATATCAATCCCTTATCAGATGTATTAATAATTTATTTAATCAATTCCTTTTGCATAGATTCTTATTTGCTCAGTGAAACTTTTGACATCCTTTAAATACACCCCCGTTCTTATATATTATGAATAATATATTCATATCTACATTCATGTAGATTTTTACATGATTTGCTTTAAAGCTATCAGTTGTTGGTACCATGCTTGAAGTGGAATAGAGGAGAGCTTCCTATGACACCAAATTGTCTTATCCTAGAGTGCTCAATGTCTAGTGTAACTTTGGAAAATAAAGAAGAGGGAAAAAAATCACCCATTGGATGGAGTATCAGTCAGTTCATCCTGAGGATCCTGTAGTTGTGAGATGATGAGTTTGTAATCGAGTTTCCCATATCTCCAGTGGTGGCCATAACATCAGGTATTCCCAATGTCCATAGTATTATGAATAGACATTTGGGTACTAGGTTATTATATACAATTTACCCTTCTATGTAGTCAATGTGCCATGTATTTCCAGTAGAATAATTTTCTGCTACTGTAATTTTTGTAGCACTTATATTTTTAACTATATGAATTATATAAATAAATAGGCTGTGATGAACTAACCTAGAAACTTAGCCACTGATTAAAATACTCATTCTATGGAAATATAGATTTTCAGCTTTACATAATAGTTTAATAAATGAACTTTCTGAACATAAGATTTTTTTCAGGTTAAGGATTTCCTATGTTTGCATTTTTATTATTTCTTTTTACCTTCTTTCCTATTATCTTTCTCCAGGGCTGAGGTCTAATGATGATTGAGTGTGATTATAAACACACTACCTAGCTGCCCTTCTTTTCAGGTAGCCGACACTAAAATAGCAGGATATAATATAATAGGAAATGGAGATGATAATAGCTACACATTTCCTACTTTTCAACAATGATAGAAAAATAATTGAGGCAATATTTGTGAATACTAGGGAGAAATGTGCTATATAGAAATCTGAATGTCATTATTTTCCCACATGCTGTATGAGGAAGAAAAATGTAAACATCATCATTGTTCATCTCAATCCTTTTATCCCAGATTGAGTGACCTTTCAGAGTCCTTTATTCTGAACAATCTAATGGGCATTTCTCAAATATCAATGGATGGAAGCTCCCATAATCACATTGCTTTTACAAATGAAATGTGTACAGTATCACTAACCAACCCCCAATGTGATTTTTATTTGAAAATTTAATGGGATGGGGAAAAAAAATCACTTTTTAAAATAATTGTCAAAGGCAAGCTAGAAGTATTCCTGGACAAGAATCTGGTAAAAGCAGAAAGTTCGATGCTCAAGAAATGTTTTGTTGTATGAAGAGGCTGGTTTGGTGGTGGGGAGGAGATACACAGAAAACTCCTGACTTTCACCCTCAATATGCTCCTGACATGCATACTCAGGGAATGTTAACAAATGTGGGGTAGTTAACATGTTTTATCTGCCTTGTTCTTCTTTTCCAACTAGAAGCTATAGCAAAGCTCTGGTAAAGGCTAGCAAGGAGAAAAATAAAAGCTGAAAGTTCTAATCAAAACTCTAATCAGAAAGATGACAACTGGTGAAGATTATTAAATTTTCCTTGCTCCCTTGATGAATTTAATAAAGAACTAATCAAAGATCATTAGAAGGCTTTTGTGCCTGGTTTGCATTGTAACTGGATTGCAATCTGAATTTGTGTTTTAGGGGGTTTCCAGGGTTGGATTGGACATGTAAATATATTTAAAACTATAGATAGTTAGACATTTTTTAGTATTTTTAGTTAATGTAAAAGCCCATGAAAATGTATAAGCTATTTATTGTGCTCATCTACTCTGCCAACTAAAAATATAGAGGATTTTGATTTTGATCTTTAGTAATTAGAATTTAAAAAATTTGTATCAGTGTCTAGCTCAAAAAATTTCTAATGATCTTTGATTAGTTCTTTTCTTAAATTAACAGGAAAATAAAAAATGGTATCATTTAATTTCCAGAGCATAAAAATATGTAAATAACTCTGTAACTACCAGAGCCACTAGAAATTTATAGAAAATTATGGTAATATCTGAAGAGGTTTCTCACTACCCCCACCCCAATTCTGAACATTTGCTTAATGTTCCTTGTTTTCAAATGATTATCCCATGGCCTTCCAGCTACATTTTAAGTATTACATTTTAAGTACTGCACTTATAGTGTCTCATGAAGTATGCATTTTGATTTCCTTGTGATATCTGCACTTCATCCATTTTCAGTGCTTAGTTTTCGTGCCTCAGTATCTGATTGGTCTAATGCAGCTTACTCCCCACCCTGCAACACTGCATTAACCCAGTAACAGGATTCCTGCCAGTTCTTATATTATTCCACCTCAAACTGCCTCCCAGCTATCTGAATCAATGACATTAGTTTTGATTTGTCTCAGTACAGAATACTTCTGTGTTCATCATAAAATAACCAGCTTTCATTAATATAAAAAAAACTCCAGGTTAGCTTTGTGCTTTTTAAAATTTAAGTATGGTTATATCATTAATAAAATTATTCCTAGGCTTTCACCAATCCTTTTTGGCAATAGTAACAACTTATTCTAGAATTATCAGGATAAATAAAGGAAACAAAAGAAATAGTGGATACTTTTCAAAATGAACTAAAAATTAGATTCCACAAATTCACTTTGATTAACTTTGTGTTTTCTTATTTAAAGTAAAATTAGTTAACACAACTCTGAGTATACCTTACAAAGAAATCTGTTGCAGTATTAGTTTCTAAACCTCTTTTTGTAAGTTAAAATATAACTATTTCAATATTATAAAAGAATTTTCAAAAATATTCTGAGGTGGATAGTATTTAACTTTGCATACCCTAGATGAGTTACACTTTCACTAAGTATTTGTTGAAGCAATCAGCTGTTTAACTCTAGTTATACCATTGTTCTGTCAACCAAAGAAAAGTAGATAGGAATGTGAAACTAGACTCTAAATTCTTCATATTCAATGTTAAATTAAATGGTAAACCCCCAGACAAAATTGAAAACAAATTTAAAAACTTTTCAGCTAACTTTTACTTGATTGGAACATCCTGATTACAAAGGCCAGATATTAAGAGAGCTAACTCTTAGGAAGAGAACTTGAAATGAAAGGTCTATGTAAACTTCAATTCCACAATGATCTTTATCTTTTACATGGTTCTGAGCAATTTGTTCATCTCTTCATATTTCAGTTGCCTTATTTCTAGAACTGGTAAGTTCTAGTGCTTTTCTTTTTTCTTGCGTATCTAAGTTTCTCTAGAACCTGAAAGACATCATTCAAGTAGTGTATGTGCACTGGAATAAATCCTCTCAGCTTTCATTCTTCAGTCTTTAGTTTTTGTTTGTGAAGGCTATTTTCACTGGATACAAAATCCTGAGTTGGCACTTTTTTTTTTCTTTCAGCACTTTAAGAAAGTCATCCTATTATCTTCTGGCCTCCATTGCTTCTGATGAGAATTCAGTGATAATACTTGTTCCACTGTACATGCCTTTTACTTTCTTCTCTATTTTCAAGATTTTCTCTTTGTCTTTGTTTTATAGCAGCTTAGCTGTAATGTGCCTTGGTGTGTATTTCTTTATATTGATTCTGTGTGGATTCACTGAAATTCTTGCACATTTAAGTCAGTGTTTTCATTCAAATGTAGGGAACTTGGAGTTATTATTTCTTCAAATTATTTATCCCTATGTTATTGTTTTCTTCTGGGACTCAGTCTCTTGCTAGGTTGACTGTAATGTTTCAAGGTCTCTAAGG